AATTTAATTTAGTAGGTGGATTTGAAACCTAAATGGTGAATTCAACTCAGTAAGTGAAAGTCTAAATCAAGATTAAGTGGAATGTTATGCAACAGAACAAAACACAAACCACACCAACAAAGCAATTATGGCTACCCGGGTGGTGAGAGATTAGTCACGCTCTCTTTCTGTATGCATAGGTTGAGTCGAAGTCTTTTGATGCCAATGGTTTCTGGGAACCGAAGTAACCATGCTTTTCTTTGTGTATTGATTGATTATTTTGAAAGCCTGACTAATTTCCACCGTATGTCCCATGTCCATTAGGTGTCTGGCGAATGCGCTTGAGAATACACTGCTGCCTTTCAAACGGAGAATTTTAGGGATATTCTCGGGGAATCTAGTAGACGCTGTCCACTCAGTCCTTCATATACACTTGTAGCAGCAAGTGCAGGTGAATTGGTAAATACGGTTGGAGTTGACATGTACAGCAGGATACTTATCTACCTTTGACTAGGTTAACGAGCTTACTGTGTTGTAAAGTGGAATGAGTTTAGCGGCGGGAAATGTTCCTTTTAATACACCTTTAATTCTGTTTTCCGTTCTTATGGATACTTCCTTGTCTTTGTAAGCTAGGCAGATAAAAACTGGCTTCTTATAAATCATTTCGGGTTTCGGTCTAGGTGGTCTTTCTTTCCCATATTTTAATATGAACTTCCGAGGGTATGCATTTTCGATAAAGTACTATTCAACAGTAATAACCTACATCAAAAATAACGAGAACTACCCTCAACAATGTCATCCAGCAGCTATGCAGTCAAAACGTCCCTCAGTTCCGAGACACGTACTGTATAACAAAATTAATTGATCAAACCGAACCTCATAATACTCGAGAATCAAGAATAATATTCCCAATAAAGTGAGATCAAAACTCCCTCTGTAAGAATAAAATAGAATAAGACATATTTCCTACAAGCATTCCAGGGTCAAGCAGTTACCTCACATCGTGACTTTGACTTCATTCAAACAAAATGGCAGCCGCAAAACAACACGTGATTATCAGCAGTCCACTACCACACAACAATAAAGAGATGCATTAAAAATAAGTAGCCACTAAAAGCCAAGACGAATGATAATAATAATAACTGGTCACGACTTCTCACTAGAACTCCAGGAGACTCCATCCTGTAGCAAGTCACTAGCGAGCATCAGATTAATTTTCAAGAATTGGTTTGTAAGGATTAAATTTGTTTTTACAAGTTTGATATCAATTTGAGAACCACTGAAAACCAGGGAGTTGAAATTCATGGGCCATTCAGTCGGTTCCCAGTGGCTGAATGGTATACGAGCCAGCTTGCCTTATAACCGGAAGTTCCTGGGTTCGAAACCCAGTGGGTGCGTACTGCCAATGACTCCCAAACTAGGATGAAACAGCTGTCTGGCAGTACTCCCTTCTGGTTTTCATTGGCTCTCTAACTGATATCAATCCTTGGTTAAACTCGTAAAAACAAATTTAATCCTTACAGATCATCTCTTGAAAAATAATAATAATAACGATTAAATCAAAAGGAGATATACAAATTTCAGAACAATGAATAACAAATCGGAAAAAAGGGCAGTAATTAGGAAATTAATTGGAACATCCATATAAGTATCAATGATACAATTGCTTCGTTTTCTTTTAGATTTTTGTACCACATAGTGAGTCAGAAAAAAAATCAATAATGATTGTTATACTTGCGAATATACAAGAAGTTCACGTACAATCTTCATCGAAAAGCAAGACAGGCACTCATTTCTCTGTAATCAGTATGGGAATCTGCTACGATCATCATAAAGAACACTCATGTCAAGTCAGTCAATACTTGTACATGGTCCAGAGACTTGGGATGCACGTCACTAAAATCATTTGCAGCAGGCTATACTGCAAAACTTTTATCAACAGCTGACTTCTCCTGACAATATCGAAGATTTGATGACCGACCAGATAGCATAAGCAACAGGGCTCTCTGTTAGGCAACAAACCAACCAAGAACCTGTCGTGCAACAGATATGCCGGAGAAAATAGAGATGGATTGGACACACGCTGAACAGACAATAGAATAAAGCCATGCCCCAGACCCTTGAGTAGAATACAAATAGGGAAACGACGAGTTGCATGAAGGAGATCATGTAAGCAGGAAATAATAGTCTATGAAAAATTGTGGAGATAGGTAAAGACGACTGTTGGGAACATGGAGAGATGGAGATTTTCTGTTGAAGCCCTATGTTCCATCAGTAACCCAAGTGAATAAGCGTAGTAATAATAATATATAATTACGTATAGTATAACAGTTCAGTATAACGCATATATATATATATATATATATATTTATATAAGTCGGTAACGTCCTATTCAATGAATATTATCTACCATGTGTATTCAAATTGGAATTGGAATTCCACATTCAGCCCACATGGAAAGGACAATACTTACATTTTAATAGCTTTTGTTCAAATAGCTTTAAACGTGGTCTAGTCAAGAGCAAGACGAATATGCTCTATAGAGAAATTACAGGAAGAATTTGAGTTTCTTGAAAAGACATTGAAGAGCAATGGATACCCCGAAAGGTTCATCAACAAGTATGGAAGATCTGAAGTCACAAATGTATAACAAATCACAGTAGGAAAAAAGCCAATCTACTTTCAGCTTGATTATAGAGGTGAAAACATTACAGCGATGATCAGCAGAAGGCTGAGCACATCACTAACCACAGCCTATCCTGCAGCTAACCTCGTTCCCGTCTATCGAACAACTTGCTCTTTGATGCAATCAAAAATCGATAAATATCTACGATTTTCTGAACATGTCCCAAAAAAAGCTTACGTCTAAAGGGAACAAATGCTTTAAACAGTGCCATCGCCAGGCATCTCCTTGACACGGGTCATGAGGTGTATGTCGAAAAGTCGTTCAAAATTATCAATAGACAAAAGAGTTTAATTCTCCTTAAGTTTGCTGAAGCCATTTCCATCAAGCGCGTGAAACCTGATTTATGCGTCCAGAAAGAAGCGGTCATCAGTCTTTCTTTGTCCTGGTAACTGGATATCTTTCATCTCTTTTTCATCCGAATGCGAAATGCTGAAAAGTTTCCATTGTGTATGATTATTATTGCTCGGAATTGTGTTCAATATTATATATATATATATATATATATATATATATATATATATATATATTAGTGTATGCGTATATTGATCGATTGATTTTTGTTTAAAATGAACTCTATGCAAGTATGTTAAACTTGTTTTTGTAGATACATTTAATAATGTCTTTGCCCTGTAAGCATCTGACGAGAAGGCAACGAAATAAAAGATGGTACCACTTTATTATTCTGCTAAAACTGTAGTTCTTGCCTTGTTCAAATTCATTAAAGGGAATAAATGTATGAAATTCCCCATTCAGATGGACAAGTCAGTTGTTAGGATGCACAACATAATCTTTACAAATTATAACTGAGTTCTCCAAAGCGGTATATACTACTGATTGATATGAGTAGTTGAACAACACTCACGTTAAACTGTAGTGCTCACTAATCAGACACTGGAGAGCAGTTTCGGTCATTTCAGTGAGGGCTTGGCGCAACATTGATGTATGCGAGTCCACTCAGTTTGAAGAGTTATGCTTGCTTGTTATTTTTTAGTTCCATTTCATGATCTGGATCTGATCCTAGTTTCCAAAGTGAACCATACTGAAATCTCTCTCATCTTGGACTGTATAGTTTCCAATAAAAGAATTCAATTCCACAAGTGAATTTCACTTGGTATATATAGTGTGAATAGTATCTCATTTAAATAAACTGTAGAATTGATTACACAATTCACACATTACAAAAACCAACACTGTTTCAATGTCCAATCTGAGCATTTGACTCTCTTTTTTTACTACCACACAGTAGCCATGGCATTCATGAAAACAAAAATAGATATTTACATACTAGCTGGTCATCTGATGAATATCGAATGCATATATGTATATATGTATTCGCCAAATCGTCAGTGCTGATCAAAGTTTATCGATCAAGTTACCGACTGATCTCTAGTATCTAACACTAATATATATATATATATATATATATATATATGTTTTATCACAAAAGAAATAATAATAGTACTGCTTTGAATGATGGACTTCGATCCGCCACCATTCGTTAATCAGATCAATTTGTATAAGCAAAACAATCTAAAATAATCGGTTCGGATCGATTGTGACCTCTGACTTCAGAATTTTTCTCACGGGAGTGTGTTTTTTAAGTCTTCCAGTTGCGCCTTGCTAAGTATTAGTGAGCACAGAATCTGTGTGAATTATAATTCAGTATCTTTAGGATCTATCTGTACACTGAGCACTAATCACGTAAATTCCCACACATCAGGTCATTGCGGAGACCGTTTTGAACCTGTGACTGTTGCTGTAATCTTATCTTAGATACTCTGATGTGGAGAATTCTATATGTTCCGAATAGTAATACATATATACGTGCAAGGTCATACATGACCTTGAGTAAGATCCGTCTAGTTGGTATTTATCAAGCTCAAGGTTATTCACTAATTGATTTGATAATACCATTCTAATAATAATAGGTGCTATATTATTCGTTCAGTTCACGTGACTTCAATCAGGGTCAGTTGGTTAGTTGGTTATTTGGTTATTACTGCTGTTATAAAGATGAATTATCAGACTATACGTGTTTTCCACTAATCACCTCATCAGGGCAATCGTGATTACGCATAGAATTTTGAGGTCAAATCTTTTAACCAATCCACTTTCAGCTAGTCAATTTCTATATTGAGCGTTCGATAGACACACATTGGCTGTTACTGTGTTTATTTATATACACTTTTTTTTTCAAATCTCGTAGTATTATTTTATTATAAATTTAGACAATATAATAATGCCCACGCAACACGTGTGTGTATGTGTGTAGTGTAGTGTAGTCACATTTACGGTGACGTTTCGTTTCCCAATCATGTCACATTTATTGCTGGCTTATCACAATTGTCATAATATTACAGAGTAATATCATGGATATATATGCATGACAGGGGATCAGACTTTTAAAACACACATCAACATACATATGTATATATCCAAAAGTAATAATAATAATAATATTTCCTGAGAATTTTAATGGATTGACGAAATGACAATTGATGCTATTACGGAGTATATTTGATTTGTCAGAATGGATTGTTTTTCGTGTGCTTCAGTGAGTTTGCTTTTATTTTTCCCCATATGAGATCCGTTAACAACTGAATTGTTCCTACTGTATATATATATATATATATATATATATATACGTTTTATTTACAATATGGTTTTATTATATCTATGCATAGTTTATCCGTTCAACTGTGTAATAGGCATCAAGATAATATACGCTTATTTTGATCGCATTTATCCCGTTTCGATTTAAAAAATTCCCCCATATCCTGTAATTAAGGTCAAATAAGTCGACAGCAAAGAGGTCTCTTCGCCTAACTTCACTTTAAGACTACAGTTATTCACGGAGTTGACGCATAGCAACATTATTAATTGACGACAGAGGTCAAAGGATATTAGTAACAAAATAAATCGAAATCAACAAGTAGTAAGGATGTTTGAAAAATTCTGCATGGTCTTACGTAATCATTAGGGTTGACAACTAATTAATTATCATGAATAAGTAGACAGTTTATTTGCGAAGCTTTCACTGCCCTACTAGGCAACATCTTCAGCGCATACTTCAATTTGAAGTTGAAGTGAGCTTTTAGATTTCTCCACGAGTTCCCTATTAGTCATCTCTGCTGGTGATGAATAATAACTTGGGAATAATGGATAAGAATAAAATTAAATGCTAAAAAGGACCACATGGAGTTTAGTATACAACTATTCAAGAAAATTAAAATTGACACTAAGGCCCACGGTAATAGAAGAGGCTGGAGAGAGTGTTTCTCAACACAAAGTTCAGCTTTTTCCTTGTGGGTTTCTAAAACCTCGGCTGCATGAGGAAAATGTAGCTGAAATTCTTATGGACTACTTGCTCATACTTTAAATATGACTGTGAATGAGGTCTCTGTTGATGCTACGTGATCAGAAGTGATAATGTGCTCCAGAATTGAGCTGTTGACTGTTCTGTGCTCTCCTTTTGACAACCATCCTGGTAAGTGTTCATGGGTACATCTAAACAATGTCCTGTGGGTACCGGCCTTATGTTGTTAACTGTTTTTCGCCTGTATGCAGTGTTGCCTTTTTCCCCTCATCTGATGAACTCCTATCAGTATTACAATTATGATACCTTACTTAATTCGTGATTGTGAGAATTTCTTACTATAGCCAGGTGGTACTCCTGGCCCCATCTACTTATCATGGTTGTGCTTAACTGGTGCGGTTACATGGCCAGTTACAAACGTATATGTAGTTGCTAATTTGTTTCATTTTTATAGTAAATACTATAAAAAATTTTCACGACTATTAAATTCTTCAATTTATCTGAAAATGAGAGAATTTCCGTAGTTTCATTCGACACAAAAATAACAATATTTGTTTTAAGTCAATTTTAATTTTACCATCGATTGTTTAGCTAAAAAAGGTCTTGTGGATAACGCTTTGGCGATTGAAACGAGGGGTACAGGGTCACAGTCTCAATGGGCAGTGAAGGTATATCCAGATGACGAGTCCCAAAAGGACGAAATGTGTATTTTAGATCCCATTGATAGTCCCCATCTATTAAATTACTTCCAAAATAATAATAATAGTTATGTATTGGGTATATTTTTCACTCAGTCTATACTGCATGCTGTGAGTCAAAGTTTAATGTAATGACAGAAAGCCTGATTGGTTAAATTAAAACAGTTGGAACCCACTTACCCTTGAAGCTTATAAATTAATTATAAGAGGAATAAAGCGGGATTACCTAAAACCAAGTCTCATAGATTGTAGGTCAAGTTATTCTCATTTTATAAATAACCAAATATAAAGTTTAAAGGCTGTGAAGCCCAGAGGAGATACAAAGAGACAGTTAATATTGCTAGACTTATGAGAATAACGTAGTACATGTGCAAGCAGAAGCTTATAAGATTCTGTATGATTAATCTCTATCAGTTTGAATAAACAGGCGACTGAAATAAAATATAGATTGATAGATAAGTTTTTTTTACTGTATGCTAGGATCTGTCTGGGAATTCCTTTTTTACCGACTCTTTTTTCATGATGCTAAATAACGAGATGACATTTTTTGAAAACTCACCACTGTGAACTGGATTTCGAGACCCAAATATCCTTGAATGTGATCAGAAAACTTGAATAAAGGTAATTCTGTCAACTTTCCCAACGCACCACGAAGACATATTGGTGGTTTTTTTTTCGACGAATCATTTTCAACAGCTGTGTAATTTAATTATTTAACAAAGAACTCATAAGACCAATCATATTCTAGTAGCTGCGTTCTAGAAAATATATGACGCAACATGAGGTGTAATCTAACTATGGTGGGGATGACTAAGTGGAGATTAGACAAAATAAGGATAGAAGTTGGAATTGCGTAATAAGTGTGAAAAAAATGACTAATCAGCCTAAATGGACAAAATGGCCTGAAGTTAATGGAAGTTAATGTAGAGTCTGGATGAAAAATGCAGTTATTACTAAACTTAATAGTAATTATAATAATCGTAAAATAATAAAACGAAATATAAAATGAAGCGAAATTATGGTAAGAACGTTACTCTGGCCACGGTAATGCAGGCAAGTGAGTGTATGTGTAGTGCTTTTAAACTCTGAGGTCCTGCTTCAAATTTCAAGTAGCTGGTGATTCGGTTATGCCATAAATGGTGTATCCGAATTCCTTCCGTGATGCATTTGGGGACTCTGTGTGCCATTGTGAAGCAACTGTATGGGGATACCCGGTTTCTACAGTTGGCAAGGTGTTTAAGGTTAGAACTACTCGTGTTCCTTTTTCATCTGGCTAGCCAGGATGGACGGTGTCCCAGAACACGCCCACGGACTTGATATTGTGTGTAACCGATACACTTTATCCCACAGAAACAAGCAAACTGATAAATACACACTGAGGTGGCCAAAAACGGTATCTTATCTCTACTTAGTCATCTCCAAGATTACATATATTACGCAATACATTTTCTAGAAATAGTTACTAGAATTTGATTGGTCGTATGAATTCTTTGTCTAATATTAATACGATTGTGCAACTCCTAAAAAATGATTCATCAAAAAGTTTTCTTCCCTCTTACTCCCCCTTTGTTTAAGACTTAATATGGGAAGTTTCTGTATGTATCGATGGTTATGTGGTTATTTTATTGAAGTAAAGTTGTAGGTTTAGAACTGGTTTGATAAAGATTCTATGTCTTTAACCCGCACAGGTTTGGTTGCTGGAAAATCTTGGACAACTAGTTTAGAATGTAGGAGTGATAAAAGTCGCAAAGTTGTTAAAAAGATTACCGCAGACCATGGTGTTCACCGATTCGTTCACAGTTTTGATTCTGTTCCTTATTCCACCCTAAAATCATAGTCTTTTCAAAAGACCAGTTATCCTGTCAGTATCTCCAATCGATCCGGCTATCGACTAAAGGGCGTTTGTATTGCTCAGTAGTCCGCTCCGTCCTCCTTTATGGCTGTGAGACCCGGCCATTGAAATTGGAAGATGTGAAAAGTCTGGCTACCTGTCTTTGATCATAGGTGCCTGCGTTCTATCCCCCATGTGAAGTGTTATAATACGGTGAGCAATATTGAGGTTAGGCACCGGTCGAGTGCTAGGTAAGGAGGAGAAATCAATAGACGAGGCTGTGAAGCTACATTGACTGAGATCGTTAGGACATGTGTTACGCATTTGTGTCTAGCCATCGATCGCCTTCCTCAACGGGCAATGTCAGCTGACATGGGGTCAGGTTGGAAAAGAGCCTGCGGTGGTCAAACCAAAACATGGCTTCATCAGTCAGTGAAATCCGCAACAGTTAGTTTAAGCCACGTAGAAAGGTGTAGACTTCCTGACTGGTTGGGGTCCTCGGGACGCTAAACACCAATGGCTGGAGACAATTGGTGACATGGCTCAAAATCGTTCTCAATGACTGGCGCAGATGTATCCACTCCTTGTGACTAATAATTTCCAATGAGACTATATTGTTCTTCGATATTGCTATTCTTTTTGCCTCATATCTCTGTTTACTGTCTCTATTTTGCATTTCTTCTCTTGCTTTATGTGCTGAGTGGAAAACAGGGGATGTACATTTTTCGGACATGAGTATTTTTTACATGTTAAATTATCGAGGAGATTTTCGCTTACTCTCTTTTGCCAATTGCCAATTTCGCATCCGTTTCTTTTCATTTACTTGAAGTTTCAGTGGAATAGCTGCCAACGGTTACATCTGTAGTTTCCACAATGCACTAGTTCATGAGGTTTAACAAGAAAATTTGAGAGTACCAGTTATCCTTGTCCAATTAAGTTTTGACAAACACTGCCGATAGTGAATTGACTTCAGTTAGAGAACCACTGAAAACCAGGGAGTACTGGAAAGATGTTTCGACCTTGTTTGACACTCTTCAGCAGTACGCACACATGAACCCACTAGAAATCGGACCCAGTGCAGGACGAACTCGTATATTATTTAGCTAGTGGAACGGAATTCAATGATCCCAAAATTTTTAACCTGCAACTAACTTTGTGTTCATCATTCCCCTCCCCCTAGTCTATAGGTTTCAAATCAAAATTTGATTGTAAAGGTGTACGAATTTCGTTTTCCCTTTTTGTATTACAAATGTGATCTTTTTTCTCATGACCAAACTTTCCAAGTGAACTTCAAACGTAAGATTTCCCTAGAAAAATGATTGTTTTATTATCTGACGAGTTGTCGACACCTAACTGATTGGAACTCATATTTACCCAGAAACAAATCTTACATTATATACCATCAGGCTGGGTCAATTGCAGTCATTCTATGAAGGTTAATGATGTAATCCATTTGCCGAGAGTGAGAGAAGTGTTTTGCGAGATCTGAATTGTTCACCTGTTGGATCAAAGTCGAGTACACTTGAGCCAATGAAGTCACATTTCTTACAAAGGAAGAGACCCTGAGGTGACACACCGAGCGCGTTGGTCACTACTTAGTTGCTATCGTCTACATCCTATTTTATGACAGTTACCTTTAATCTCTATGTAGTTGAATTACAGTCACACAGATAGATATACAATCAATGTGTAATTAACAGACAAATAAG